GCATCAAAATGTTGTAAGAAGGTAAGGGTGACATTTATCCTTAGGCTAGAAAGAATAATAATATTAATTTATCTTTTTAGTAATATTTTTGTGTCTGTAAAATAATTAAATATCAAATCTGCAAATCTCTCTCTCTCTCTCTCTCTCTCTCTTTATACATATATATATATATATATATATATATATATATATATATATATATATATGTATATATGTAAATATATATTTATATACGTATATACATATATGTATGTATGCATGTGTCTATATAGAGACTTAAAATCATATATATATATATATATATATATATATATATATATATATATATATATATATATATATATTAACTTAACTTAACTTAACTTAACTTAACTTAACTTAACTTAACTTAACTTAACTTAACTTAACTTAACTTAACTTAACTTAACTTAACTTAACTTAACTTAACTTAACTTAACTTAACTTAACTTAACTTAACTTAACTTAACTTAACTTAACTTAACTTAACTTAACTTAACTTAACTTAACTTAACTTAACTTAACTTAACTTAACTTAACTTAACTTAACTTAACTTAACTTAACTTAACTTAACTTAACTTAACTTAACTTAACTTAACTTAACTTAACTTAACTTAACTTAACTTAACAACTGAACTTGCGAACTATAAAAGGCTTGTAAAAACGATTAGTTACTGTAGTATGACATAAAGCAACATGTTTTAAAATGATGCCATTCAAGATAGCAATCGAGTAAGGCTTAGAGAAGTTAATAATTTTAAGGCTTGTGGATATGACATTGTTTACTGTTTGGCTATCAAGTACATATCTATTTAAAAAATCTATAATAATTTAAAGAAGTAAGTGGTAGAGATCTATATAGAGTCGTTTATAATTACGCCTATATACCTTTGTGGATGTACTAAATACAGCTATCTATAAATTTAGCAACATGTTTTAAAATGATGCCATTCAAGATAGCAATTGAGTAAGGCTTAGAGAAGTTAATAATTTTAAGGCTTGTGGATATGACATTGTTTACTGTTTGGCTATCAAGTACATATCTATTTAAAAAATCTATAATAATTTAAAGAAGTAAGTGGTAGAGATCTATATAGAGTCGTTTATAATTACGCCTATATACCTTTGTGGATGTACTAAATACAGCTATCTATAAATTTAGGACTAAAACCTGACATTTTAATTACTTTATTAAAGGTTACTTAAAGATTACATTCCGTTATTCCAGAGTTCCGATACTATCAACGAACAAGCTGAACAGGTATTATTTCAAATTATAAAATTATAACATTATAGCTACAATTTCATATTGAAAATTACAAACATTTATGTTGTCAATAATTTTTAAAAGTTTTATTTTTCTAAATTTGCAACTTATAAATTAAAATAACATGATTTATGTAAATCAAGTGAAATGTAAACAGTTCATAATTGTCTCCAAATGTTGTACTTTCCATTGACTTTACTCTCAAAACTCTCATCTTTAGTTTATTGTTCTCACTCGCACTCTTTTTCTCTAGGTTTCTGTATATCTCTCAGTGTAAAATTAAACTGATTTGTCTTTGTAAAATTAGTTTTTTTTTTTTAATTTTTAGTGCTGTTTAAAGTTTCTTGTTGTAAAGTGTTTTTTTTTATTCGTTTTATTTTCTACCTTTTAGTGATTCCTAATTTATGACGTCGAAACAACTAAAAATACATGCCTTAAAACATTATCAGCATCTCGCGATGTCTAAAAGACTATTTTAATGGAAGCAGCCGTCCGTGATTATATTTAAAAAAAAAAACCCACAGCAAGTTCTTAATCATGTTACCTTCCCCTTAGTTTAAAGACTTATTATCTGCCTTAAAAAGTCTATATAAGATCGACCAGCTCTACGATTGTAAACATTCTCTTGAACCACTGCTCACTTGACTGATGATCGCTTTTATCTAGTCAATATAAGTAATCTCCTTTGCTGTTATTGAATATAGTAATCAATCGAGTGGTTTAACTTTGCTATTGCCCATTAGGTTTAAAACCATTTAATTAATTTTTAATGACTAATTAAACAATTTATTAAATTAAAAAATAAATATACTATATTGCCATCAAACTGAAACATATCTAAAATGTTTAGAAGTGTGTCAAAATTGAGTTACAAGATTCGCCTCAAACCCACATATAAACAAGCAAACAAAAAACACACACAAAAAAACAAACGTTGCGAAATAAATAAAAGCTTGTAAAAAAGGATTATTTTCCTAAGTATAATATGAATCAATGTCTTAAAAATGATGTCAATGACGGTAAAAATGTAGTGAGGCTTACAGAACTTAGATAATTTAAATACTTAAAAAGAGTGTGGAAGAGATATAATATATTGAATCATTTATTATTACGTCTTTATGTATGTCGGATTTGCTATCAAAAAACAGTTATCTATTAATTAAATACCAAAAGGTGACATTTTATTACTTTATTAAGGTTATTTAAAGATTGCATTATTTTATTCCAGAGTTCCGATACTATCAATGTACAAGCTAAACAGGTATCATTTCAAATTACTCTTATAACATTTCATTTTGAAAATTACAAAATGTATGTTGTCGATGTTTAAAAAAAAGGTTTTATTTCTCTAAATTTGCAAATTATAAATTAAAATAACATTATTCATGTTCATCAAGTGAAATGTAAGAAATTCTAAACTGTCTACAGTTGCAACACTAAAATCAAAACTAAAATTCTACAGGGATCGAGCTGATAAACCGCACTTTAAATTCAATACAGCATATCTTAGGAGTCCAAAAATAAAGCAAGACTTTAACCGCGCGGTAAAAAATAGGTATGAAGCACTCTCCAGCCTGGCAGAAGAAACAGTAGAGCAAAAATGGCTAGGAATACAGGAACTATGGAAGTCAACATACACTGACATATTGGGAAGAAGAAAAAATGAACAAAAAAATGGATCACAACAGAGACATGGGCCAAAATTGAAAATAGAAAAGAGATAAAGTAAAAGATGAACAAATGTAAGGATGAAAAAGAGAAAATAAACCTCAGAACACATTATAATGAAGTAAATTGCGTGGTCAGGAAAAGTGCAAAAGAAGACAAAAGACAGTTCATACAAGAGATGATAGCGGAGGCAGAAACTGCAGCACGACAAGGAAAAATGAAGAGGCTCTATGAAGTAACCAGGACCCTATCAGGCAAGAATATCAACCCCAACAAACCAGTAAAGGATAAATTAGGAAATATTTTAACAAGTGACACAGAACAGAGAGACAGATGGGTACAGCACTTTGATGAGCTTTTAAACCATCGTCTCTCATCAAACTTCCCTGATATACCACCTGCAAACCACTTACTACATATGTGTACAGATCCACCCACAAAGTTAGAAACAATAAGAGCAATAAAAAACATGAAAAATGGCAAAGCAGCTGGCCCGGACAGCATCCCACCAGAGGCACTCAAGGCAGACCCAGTCATACCAGCAGACATACTACATCCTCTACTTAAGCAGATTTGGGAAGAAGAGATAATCCCATCTGACTGGAAACTGGGATACCTGATAAAACTGCCAAAGAAGGGAGACCTGACACAATGCAACAACTGGAGAGGGATAATGCTTCTTTCAGTTCCAAGTAAAGTGCTGACAAGAATCATCCTAGAGAGACTTAGAGATGCCTTGGACAAAAAGCTGAGACAAGAACAAGCTGGTTTTCGTCAAGACAGGTCATGTACTGACCACATTGCCACGCTGCCCATCATTATGGAACAGTCCCTCGAGTGGCAATCCCGCTTATACATGACTTTTGTCGACTTTAAAAAGGCGTTTGACAGTGTGAATAGAGATGTTATCTGGAAGTTAATGAGCCACTATGGAATACTCCAAAAATGTATATCTATCACACAGAAACTATATGAAGACTCCACCAGTCAGGTAATACACAAGGGAAAACTAACAAAACCAGGGATGTATGCTATCGCCAATGATATTCTTGATGGTAATCGACTGGATCATGTTGAAAACCACAAAAACGACACAGGAATCCAGTGGAGTTTCGCCAAAAGGCTGGAAGATCTTGATTTAGCCGATGACATCTGCTTACTATCTCACAAGCATCAACATACTAAATCGGCTATCTGAAGGAGCCTCCAAAGTTGGACTAAAAATCAATAAAAATAAAACAGAGGTCATCAGAATCAATAATAGCCAGGACCTGCTTATATAGCTAAATGGAGAAGATTTACGAGGAACAAACACATTCACATATCTGGGAAGCGTGATCAATAAGGACGGGGGAGCAGACGAGGACATAAAATGCCGTATCAACAAGGTTAGATGGGCCTTCAACTCACTGCGCCCGATGTGGAGGTCCACGGCCCTGTCACTCCGGAGCATGTCTTGGATTTCCAACTCAAATGTCAAGGCAGTGGTGCTATATGCTCGGACACTTGGAGGGTTAAGAAGACAAATACTGATAAGCTACGGGCATTCGTAAACAAATGGCCAGACAAAATATCAAACAAAGACCTGTAGCGAACTTTAAAGCAACAGCCAATAGAGACAGATATCAAGGCCCGTAAATGGGGATGGATCGGACACCAATTAAGAAAAGAAAAAGAAAACATCGCAAAACACGCTTTGGACTGGAATCCCCAGGGAAAAAGGAGGGTGGGCCGGCTAAGGAAGACACGGAGAATAACGGTTGAAGAAGAGGCGAAAACAGCTGGGCTCTCATGGGCACAGATAAAGGGAGCAGCCCAAAACCGAGTCCAATAGAGATGTGTGGTTGCGGCTCTTTGCTCCCCAGGGACCACAAAGGAATGATGATGATGATGACCTTTCTCCTAATGTCATACTTTTTATTGACTTTACTCACAAAACTCTCATCTATAGTATTTTTTTTTCTAACTCACACTCTTTTTCTCTAGGTTTTTGTATATCTCGCAGTGTAAAATAAAATTGATTTGTCTAATTAAAATATTTCCATATATATAATTATGTAAGAATTACAATTTAATCTAAAATAACAGTCGTTATAATGAAGTGTATTTATTACGAACTTAAATCTATCGTTTGTTGTAACAGAAATTGTAACATAGGGCCTCAACCATATCTTTCCATTTCGTCTGATTCCGGGGCTAATATTTTTGTAATCTCCCAAGACATTCCAGTTGGATTTAGTTCTTTGAGAACCTGCAGGTTTGTCTTGGGCGCCCTTATTTCCGCTATACCTTGGGGATTCACTCAGGTGCCTGGTGTGTCACATTGCTATAATGTAAGCTCACAGATTAAGTACATCCAATGCTCACATTTTAAAAAAGGATTAGTTACTCTTGTATAACTTAAACCAGCATGTCTTAGAATAATGGCATTGAAGGGATCAATTAAGTTTGGCTTACTAACCACCAATAGTTTAAAAACTTGTGAACTTGTGGCATTTCATACTGTTGTTTAGTTGTCAAATATATATCCATAAATAAAATCAATATATATGTAATGAAGTAGGCTGAGTGGTAATTGTTTATTATTACGCCTATATACCTATATGAATGTGCTATCGAAATACATATATCTGTATATTTTCGACTAAGAATTGACATTTCTTTACTTTATTAAAAGTTACTTAAATATTACATTCTTTTATTTCAGAGTGCCTATACTATCAACGTACAAGTTGAACAGGTATTATTTCAAATTTTTCTTTTAACATCATACTTTCATTTTTTAAAAATAAAAGTAAATTAGTTTTTAAAACAAAGTTAATTGTTCTAAATTTGCTACTTGTAAATAAATTTAAAATACTTAACGCATGTAAATCAAATGAAATTTATACAATTTATAACTGTCTACATCGCCTCTATATCATAAATGTAAAACCTGTCTCCAAATCTTAAATGTTTCAATTACTTTTCATACAAAGCTCTAAAACTGCAGTTATTCGTCTCATTCTCACTCTTTTTTTTCTCTAGGTTTATGTATTTTTCTCAGAGTAAAATTTAACTGTCTTTTTCAAATCTTTTAATTTTTTAATAACGTAATATTACAATTTTGAATATCGTCGTTTAAATCTATATTTTGTTTTAACAAAAACATATGGGGTCGTTTTAAAGCGGTAACCACATTCGAGGGGGTATTTATAAAAGCATCTATTTATTTTTTGAAATGCATGCACTATTTCTAAAATGTGACATGACTTAATTGACATAGTCCTCTTTGCTCCTCGTGGAAGATGGTTCCCGAAAAGAACCGCAACAGAAAAAAACGCAAAGGAAAAAAGCGCAAAACAAAAAGCGCAACGGTAAAAAGCGCACACGGAAAAAAGCAAACAGAAAAAGCACACTCAGAAAAAAGCGCAAACAGAAAAATGCGAAACCAGAAAAAACGCTACGAAAAATGTGCAAACGAGAAATTTAGCACAACGACGTATGGATTAGATGACACATTTATACATGACTGTTAGGGTTGCTGTGAGAGTGTGGTGTTTGATCACGTGATCTACTACCATTTAAAGCGTGCATTCCCATCACCACGGTACAGGCGATAATCACTTTACACAATGCCTATTATTTTCTTGGTCAATAATTATTCAACTACTATTCTCGTATATATATAAACATAAAACTATCCTTAATATCGACATTACACGAAGCATCTCTCACATTCTCCCTTGTCCGAACTACCTAGCTTGCATACCATAACAACCCGTTCCTATGGCAATACTTCACTCTCTTTCATCCGCGTCATCAAACATGCATTCGTCATATCTCTCGTAACAACATTCAATCGCACAAAAATAACAATTATGTATTTAATTTTTTTTTCACATCATGACGCACCTACCTACCTACCTACTACCCACCTACCCACCTACCTACCTACCCACCTACACACTTACCTATCTACCCACCTACCCACCTATCTACCTACCTACCTACCTACCCACCTACCCACCTACCCACCTACCCACCTACCCACTTACCCACTTACCCACTTATCCACCTACCCACCTACTCGCCTACCCACTTACCCACCTTCCCACCAAAAAAGTATCGACGAAGTTCGTTAGTTTCGTAAACTGTACTAGAAATCATTGACATATGTTACATATTTGTTACATTTTGCGACAACCTTAATTAGTGCGTTGGGCTTGTAGGAAAACTCACTTCGAACTAACTCAATTACATGCTATTTATTTTAACATTACACGGTAAGCGTCACCCAACTGTTGTGATGTGAGGTGAGGACAGGTTCGACAATAAACCAACACGAAAGTACGAAAGAGACATAGACTGCTTATTAGAGAATGGACCCCTTAACTTTCCTAACCCCACCATTTATTATACCCTACCTAACCTCTAAATTTCCTGCGCTAAATGTCACTTCCCTCCCAATCGTTCCTATTCTACAGAATTGTGTGTAGGCCTACTATTTATTTACATTCTTTAATCTCAATATAACTAAAATAAGCTTTTGTTTGAAGGGTAATGAAAACTTGTAAACAAAAGGGACGCTACTCTAAATCTATGCGAATACTTATATGCAACAATCCTAACCCCAACCAAAACATGTACTGAACAGCATAATGGGCAGCATGTAGCCAGAGTTTCTTCCAGGCATCTCTTTTACCCCCCCCCCCCCCCCCCCCACCGAACGAAATAGAATTTATAAAGTAAACATACACTTTTACTAGTGTCCGCCCCCCCCCCCAAATGTTGACCCCCCCCCCCCCCTGAAAATCCTCCCCCCCCCCACCCCGAAATCACCCCAACTCCCCCCGAAAAAAAAGTCTGGAAGAAACACTGAATGTAGACTATATAATAGAAGAGCTATGGTTGTTAATATCATTTTGCATTCGTCCGGTAAACATTTCAGTAAAATACCTTAAAAAACTTTCATAACCTTTTTATAAAGAAACAAAGAGAGATGAAGTTTTAAAATAACATCAGGCTTTGACTTACACCTACTCCAATGGCATCTACATTGTTAAACTGATTAACTATGTAATGTAGGGCTGAACAGGATCAATGGACTAACATTACGCCAAACCAGTTTGAAATTTCGAGTTTTGTATCACTGTTACTAAGCTAGAAAAATGGAAATGTGCATAATCTATATCATCTACACAAATACCCAACCACCTACCTAACTACTCACCCACACATCTACCCACATACCCACCTAACAACCTACCCACCCACTTACCCACCTACCCATAAATAAATTAAAAAAAAAAATATATATATATATATATATATATATATATATATATATATATATATATATATATATATATATATATATATATATATATATATATATATATATATATATACCTGGGTCTATGTGTCCCGCAACTATGAATTGAGAGGGTCTACACTACCATTATTTTCTGTCTAGCCATTCAGTAGCTCATCGCAAAGCACGACGACATCAAGGTATACAAATGATTCGACAGGATGACATTAATTTGACTATTTATTGCATTACAAAGAACGACTTGAACGAACAATACTAAGACTGGACTACATTACGACATCACTCTAACACAACAAGAACAAGTGTACTTTTTAACTTCTTTCCCCGACAACAACGAACCTACACTAAAACGTCACATTCTTGATAGTTTTATGTTTATTTATACGAGAATAGTAGTTCATTAATTATTGACCAAGAAAATAATAGGCATTGTGTAAAGCGATTGTCGCCTGTATCGTGATGATGGAAATGCACACGGTAGTGGTACGCTTTAAATGGTAGAAGATCACGTGATCAAACACGACACTTTCTCAGAAGCCCTAACAGTCATGTATAAATGTGTCATCTAATCGATATAGGTCTTTGTGCTAAATTTCTCTTTTGCACATTTTTCGTTCTGTTTTTTTCTGGTTGCGCATTTTTCTGTTTGTGCTTTTTTCTGTTTGCGCTTTTTTCCGTTTGCGCTTTTTTCTGATTGTTGTTTTCTGTGTGCGCGTTTTTCTGTTTGCGCTTTTTTCCGTTTGCGCTTTTTTCTGTTTGCGCTTTTTTCCGTTTGCGCTTTTTTTCCGTTTGCGCTTTTTTCCGTGTGCGCTTTTTTCTGTTTGCGCTTTTTTCCGTTCGCCCTTTTTTCTGTTTGCGCTTTTTTCCGTTTGCGCTTTTTTCTGTTTGCGCTTTTTTCTGTGTGCGCTTTTTTTCAGTTTGCGCTTTTTTTGTTGCGCTTTTTGTTTTGCGCTTTTTTCCGTTGCGCTTTTTTTTCCGTTGCGCTTCTTTCCGGTCACCGTGGAAAATAAGGTCTCCTTCATATCCTTCCATTTCGTCCGATCTTCGGCTATTAATTTTGCTATCTCCCAAGACATCCTTGTTGGTTTCAGTTTTTCGAGAAGACTCCTACTGCTGCTTTGCCTTTGGGAGTTCTCTTTTTCTCTTTTTACTCTTTTATAACATGATCAACATGTTTTAAAATGATTCAATTAGGGGTCGGCGTGGTCGAGTCGGTAAAGCTCATGGTTGCTAAACCAAAACTTCTCCAGTTCGAACCCTCGGGCAGATGAGGCTCGTTAGATGGGCACAGCCACTCTTCTGGGAGAGACAACTCCAAAATCAAACAACTGCTGCCTTGTAGTTTGTTCTTGGTTGGACAAAGGCTATGGAAGCAAATCCAAAAAGAAAAGCAGGCTGAAATCGGAGTCAGTGGCCTCAATGGCGCATAACCAGTTGACAGGTATCCTTAATTGTGATGGAGGCGTGGTCGAGTCGGCAAAAGCTCGTGGTTGATACATTCGAAAAAAGTCTCGAGTTCAATCCATCTGGCAGATCCCTTCCAACACTAAAAAATTAAGAAAGAAGAAGAAGAAGAAAGCAATGAACTTAAATAATTTATAAACGTGTAGATTTTGCATTGCTTACTGTTTAGCGGTCACATATAAATATATATTTTTAAAAATTCAATATGAATTTAAAGAAGTTAGTGGTAGAGTAGTATAAATCTATATAGAATCATTTTATTACTTTATTAAACGTTACTCAAAGATTATATTCTCTTATTCCAGAGTGCCGCTACTGTCAACGAACAAGCTAAACAGGTATAATTTCAAATTACTCTTATAACATTAAGGCTAATTTTCATTTTGATAATTAAAAAAAATTATGTCACCAATGTTTTAAAAATAAATTGTTTTATTTTTTTTATTTGCAAAATATAAATTTAAAGTACATTATTCATGTACATGAAGTGAAATGTAAACAATTATTAACTGTCTACATAGCAATTATAATATAAATAAAATACCTGTCTTAAAATGTTGTAACTTCCATTGACTTTACTCACAAAACTCATCTTTCATTTATTTCTCTCACTCGCATGTTTTTTCTCTAGGTTTCTGTATATCATTCAGTGTATAACTTAACTGTTTTGTGTAATTCAATTTTTCTATTTATTTAATAATGTAAGAATTTAAATTTAATTCAAAATAACATAGTCGTTAAAATTGCTAAAATGTCACCTTACTGAATATGTACATCCAATGGTCATGTTTTTTAAAAAATATTAGTTACTCTGGTAAAATATGATCCAACATGTCTTAAAATGATGCAATTGAAGGCATTTAAAAAAAAAACCAATGTAACAACGCGTATTTGTAGATGAGACAATACGGTGTTTTTGTGAGTTCTTCAATGAATACAAACGACAGTTCTTTCAACTTACTAAATTTATTCACATTAATATAAGAAATCCGTCGGAATTAATAATGAAAATCCATAGTGAAATAATACCAAGCAAACTACAATTCAGAGACAAAGTGACGTGATTACAGCTTACAACATTCTTCTATACAGGCCCAGGCCCTTAGTTCCCCTTGCGCTCCCCTTTTATACTCTTCATTATCTCCCCTAACGTCAGTGAGCGATCTTATATAAAGCATGGAAAAACATGACTAGTCGCTCACACAGTCCTTCCGTTGGACAGGTACTCTACTTTTATACAACTTCATGCTAAATACAATATAATAAATCATACAAGAGGTACAGTCTGTTACAGAATCATTTATATTTACGTCTTTATGCTTGGTTGATTTGCTATCGAAATACATTGATCTATACATTTAATACAAAGAGATAACATTTTGATAATTTATTATAGTTTATTTAGAGATTACATTCTTTTACTCCAGAGTTCCGATACTATCAACGTAAAAGCTGAACAGGTATTGTTTAAAATTACTCTTATAACATCATTCTAACCATTTAAATTAAAAAAAATTAAATTTGGATTGTCAATGTTTTAAAAAATGGTTATATTTGTCTAAATTTGCAACTTATAAATTAAAAAAACATAATGCTCATATTTTGCAAGGAACAGTTATTCTATTATAACATGAACCGACATGTTTTAAAAGGATGTAATTGAAGGAAGCAATAAAGTGACGCTTACAGAACTAAAATAATTTGAAATCTTGTGAATTTGGCATTGCTTTCTGATTAGCGGTCATGTATACATTTATTTTTTTAAAATCAATATGAATTTTAAAAAGTTGGTGGTAGAGTGGTATAAATCTATATAGAATCATTTATGATTACGCTTATATACCTGGGTGAATGTGCTATCGGAATACAGCTAGCCATAAATTTACGACTAAGAGGTGACATTTTATTACTTTATTAAACGTTGTTTAAATATTACATTCTTTTATTCCAGAGTGCCTATACTATCAACGTACAAATAAAGCAGGTATTATTTCAATTTTTTCTCTTAACATTATACTAACATTTTTTTAAACTACAGAATTTTTAATCTTCTTGTTATAAAAATGAACCGGGAGTGATCTCCTTTAAACTTCCTCAAATGTTCTTTTACAACACTACGGGGAATGGAGACTCGGGATGTAGACAATATTTTAAATCTATTTTTTATTACTTAAATTATGTATAATAGAATAGAATATAGTAGAAAAAATACTTGAGCACCATGTGAGCGCCAGACTATATAATCATAATAGTGCGGGATATTGTTAGTACTTTATAAATTCACATGCCTTTTTTTAGAATTCAGAAATAGCGTAAATTACTGCTTCCGGTCAACGGAAATTACTAAAAATTTATAGAAGGCAGAGAAAAAATATCTTGTACTTACAAATTATATTCTTTTGAAAAATTGTAATTAGAAAAAGTTGTACTTGCTGAAATCGCTGAAATTTTTTTAAGAATCTACAAATTTGACTTGATACTTATATATGAAATTTTATCAACCTAGCTGTAATGGTATTCAACTTAACGTGTTTACAGACATAAATGCACACACACTCACACATACGTACACACATACACTAACGGACATACGGACAAGGTTGCAAATTTTTGAGAAATACTTTTAGAAAAAGTATTGTAATCGTGAAAAAAAATCACGATTTTTGACAATCTCGACGTTTTACACCTCCCTGAGTCAGAAAAACATAATTTTGCAATCTTGTCCCGTAAGTCTGTGTGTGAGTATGTATGTGTGTGTATGTATGTGTGTCTGTAAAAACTATAACTTGAGTACCGTTACACCTTGGTTGATGAAATCTCGTATATAAGTAATATATCAAGTTTGTCGTTTTGTATCAAACTTTCAGCGATTTCCTATAACCGCAAGTGGAACTTTTTCTACTTTCAATTATTTATATACCTATAAATTTAGTACTATTTCAGATACATAAATAACATTTCACAAAAAGTTGCAAGATTGAAAATCTATGCCTTCTTTCAAAATTTAAGTAATTTCCGTGGACCGGAAAACAAAAGTTCTCCACCATATACTTCCATTTCGACCGATCTCCGGCTATTAATTTTGCAATCTCCCAAAACATCCCTGTTGGCTTCAGTTCTTTGAGAAGACTCCTACTGCTGCTTTGTCTATGGGTGCTCTCTTTTCCGCTTTTGCTGAGTGGTCTACTCAGGCGCCTGGTGTGTCACTTTGCTTTAATGTAAGCTCACTAAAGATCAACATCCAATGAACATATTTTAAAAGGATCAGTTAATCTTTTATAACATGATCCAACATGTTTTAAAATTCTAACATTTAAGGAAGCAATAAAGTGAGGCTTACAGAATTTAAATAATTTATAAACGTGTGGATTTGACGTTGCTTTCTGTTTAGCAGTCACATATAAATATATATTTTTTAAAATTCAATATGAATTTTAATAAGTTAGTGGTAGAGTGGTATAAATCTATATAGAATCATTTATGATTACGCTTATATACCTGGGTAAATGTGCTATCGGAATACAGCTAGCAATAAATTTACGACTAAGAGGTGACATTTTATTACTTTATTAAACATTATTTAAACATTACATTCTGTTATTCCAGAGTTCCGCTACTGGCAACGAACAAACTGGACAGGTATTATATTAAATTATAACATTACAGTTTAATTTCATTTTGAAAATTACAAAAAATGTGTTGTCAATGTTTAAAAAACATGTTTTATTTTTCTAAATTTGCAACTTGTAGATTAAAACAAAATAATTCATATAATTCAAATGAAATGTAAACAATTCATAACTGTCAACATGGTCACTATGATATGAGTAAAACACCTGTCTCCAAATGTTGTACTTTCCATTGACTTTACTCTCAAAACTCTCATCTTTAGTTTGTTTTTCTCACTCGCACTCTTTTTCTCTAGGTTTCTGTATATCTCTCAGTGTAAAATTAAACTGATTTGTCTTTATAAAATCTTTTATTTTTTAATAATTTAAAAACTACAAATTAACTTTAAATAATGTCGTCAATATAATGAAGTATATTTATTACCAACTTAAGTCTAAAGTTTGTTGTAACAAACACATATGGGGTCGTTTTAAAGCGGTTATCACATTCGAGGGATATTTATAAAAGCATCTTTTAATCTCTTGAAAATGCATGCACTATTTCTTAAATAAGACATGACTTAAATGACGTAGTCCTCTTTGCTCCTCGTGGAAAATAAGGTCTCCACCATATCCTTCCATTTCGTCCGATCTCCGGCTATTAATTTTGCAATCTCCCAAAACATCCCTGTTGGCTTCAGTTCTTTGAGAAGACTCCTACTGCTGCTTTGTCTATGGGTGCTCTCTTTTCCGCTTTTGCTGAGTGGTCTACTCAGGCGCCTGGTGTGTCACTTTGCTTTAATGTAAGCTCACTAAAGATCAACATCCAATGAACATATTTTAAAAGGATCAGTTAATCTTTTATAACATGATCCAACATGTTTTAAAATTCTAACATTTAAGGAAGCAATAAAGTGAGGCTTACAGAATTTAAATAATTTATAAACGTGTGGATTTGACGTTGCTTTCTGTTTAGCAGTCACATATAAATATATATTTTTTAAAATTCAATATGAATTTTAATAAGTTAGTGGTAGAGTGGTTTAAATCTATATAGAATCATTTATGATTACGCTAACATACCTGGGTAAATGTGCTATCGGAATACAGCTAGCAATAAATTTACGACTAAGAGGTGACATTTTATTACTTTATTAAACATTATTTAAACATTACATTCTGTTATTCCAGAGTTCCGCTACTGGCAACGAACAAGCTGGAGAGGTATTATTTCAAATTATAACATTACAGTTTAATTTCATTTTGAAAATTGAAAAAATTGCGTTGTCAATGTTTAAAAAACATGTTTTATTTTTCTAATATAAGCTCACTAATTATCAACATCCAATGGTCATATTTTAAAAGGATCAGTTAATCTTTTATAACATGATCCAACATGTTTTAAAATGCTAACATTTAAGGAAGCAATAAAGTGAGGCTTACAGAATTTAAATAATTTATAAACGTGTGGATTTGACGTTGCTTTCTGTTTAGCAGTCACATATAAGTATATTTTTAAAAAATCAGTATGAATTTAAAGAAGTTAATTATAGAGTGGTATAACTCTATATAGAATTATTTATGATTACGTTTATATACCTGGAATACAGCAAGCAAAAAATTTACGACTAAGAGGTGACATTTTATTACTTTATTAAACGTTATTTAAATATTATATTCTGTTATTCCAGAGTTCCGCTACTGTCAACGAACAAGCTGGACAGGTATTATTTCAAATTATAACATTACTGTTTAATTTCATTTTGAAAATTACAAAAAGTGTTGTCAATAATTAAAAAAACATTACATTAAACAATACATTCTGTTATTCCAGAGTTCCGCTACTGTCAACGAACAAGCTGGAGAGGTATTATTTCAAATTATAACATTACAGTTTAATTTCATTTTGAAAATTAAAAAAATTGTGTTGTCAATGTTTAAAAAACATGTTTTATTTTTCTAAATTTGCAACTTGTAGATTAAAACAAAATAATTCATATAATTCAAATGAAATGTAAACAATTCATAACTGTCAACATGGTCACTATGATATGAGTAAAACACCTGTCTCCAAATGTTGTACTTTCCATTGACTTTACTCTCAAAACTCTCATCTTTAGTTTATTTTTCTCACTCGCACTCTTTTTCTCTAGGTTTCTGTATATCACTCAATGTAAAATTAAACTGATTTGTCTTAATAAAATCTTTTATTTTTAATAATGTAAAAATGACAAATTAACTTTAAATAATGTCGTCGTTATAATGAAGTATATTTATTAACGATTTCAGTCTAAAGTTTGTTGTAACAAACACATATGGGTTCGTTTTAAAGCGGTTATCACATTCGAGAGATATTTATAAAAGCATCTTTTAATCTCTTGAAAATGCATGCACTATTTCTTAAATAAGACATGACTTAAATGACGTAGTCCTCTTTGCTCCTCGTGGAAAATAAGGTCTCCACCATATCCTTCCATTTCGTCCGATCTCCGGCTATTAATTTTGCAATCTCCCAAGACATCCCTGTTGGCTTCAGTTCTGTCCGAAGAGCCTGGTACGTCGGACTCCCAAGGCCCCTACATGATAGCGAGACAGGAGATTTGTCCGCACTAGGCGGGCGAATCTCCGTCGCTTGCTCTAAATAGCGTGGGGGAGGAGAGGTGCAAGACTGCTGGGAACCAAGAAGGGTTTTGCTCTCGACCCTAACCAGATGTCTTGACTTTAAGCTGCGGCCTTCACGTGGCTTCGGATGTGTGCCACTAGTCGGACCAAGCTCATGACCCCCCTAGTGGGTGCGGGATGGCTAGTGGTAGCCAACAGCAGCTAGAGGTTTTTGATCTGGCCGAGTAGAACTGCTGTATGCATTCGGCTCTTCCGAAGAGTCTGGTACGTCGGACTCCCAAGTCCCCCACATAATAGCGTGGGGGAGGAGAGGTGCAAGACTGCCGGGAACCAAAAGAGTCAGATATTTTGACTTTAAGCTGCGGCCTTAACGGGGCTTCGGAATAATGCCACTGGTCCGACCAAACTCATGTCCCCCTAGTGGGTGCGGAATGGCCGGTAGCAGATAACAGCAGCTAGAGGGTTTTGATCTGGCGGAATGCCCCCCACGATCAAGCTGGGTACCAGGCGGTGGGACGACGTCCCGCGTCTGGTGGGTGGGGAAGGAAAGCCCGGTGAGAGCCCACGGAAGTAGCGACCGAGGTGTGGGGAACTCTTGTGGTCGGAGTATGCTACACTGAGGCCTGCCTGGCTGATGGAAGTCAACCTTCTGAGCCGGTTTCCGTATAAGAAGAAGAAGAAGAAGAAGGCTTCAGTTCTTTGAGAAGACTCCTACTGCTGCTTTGTCTATGGGTGCTCTCTTTTCCGCTTTTGCTGAGTGGTCTACTAAGGCGCCTGGTGTGTCACTTTGCTTTAATGTAAGCTCACTAAAGATCAACATCCAATGAACATATTTTAAAAGGATCAGTTAATCTTTTATAACATGATCCAACATGTTTTAAAATTCTAACATTTAAGGAAGCAATAAAGTGAGGCTTACAGAATTTAAATAATTTATAAACGTGTGGATTTGACGTTGCTTTCTGTTTAGCAGTCACATATAAATATATATTTTTTAAAATTCAATATGAATTTTAATAAGTTAGTGGTAGAGTGGTATAAATCTATATAGAATCATTTATGATTACGCTTATATACCTGGGTAAATGTGCTATCGGAATACAGCTAGCAATAAATTTACGACTAAGAGGTGACATTTTATTACTTTATTAAACATTATTTAAACATTACATTCTGTTATTCCAGAGTTCCGCTACTGGCAACGAACAAACTGGACAGGTATTATTTTAAATTATAACATTACAGTTTAATTTCATTTTGAAAATTACAAAAAATGTGTTGTCAATGTTTAAAAAACATGTTTTATTTTTCTAAATTTGCAACTTGTAGATTAAAACAAAATAATTCATATAATTCAAATGAAATGTAAACAATTCATAACTGTCAACATGGTCACTATGATATGAGTAAAACACCTGTCTCCAAATGTTGTACTTTCCATTGACTTTACTCTCAAAACTCTCATCTTTAGTTTGTTTTTCTCACTCGCACTCTTTTTCTCTAGGTTTCTGTATATCTCTCAGTGTAAAATTAAACTGATTTGTCTTTATAAAATCTTTTATTTTTTAATAATTTAAAAACTACAAATTAACTTTAAATAATGTCGTCAATATAATGAAGTATATTTATTACCAACTTAAGTCTAAAGTTTGTTGTAACAAACACATATGGGGTCGTTTTAAAGCGGTTATCACATTCGAGGGATATTTATAAAAGCATCTTTTAATCTCTTGAAAATGCATGCACTATTTCTTAAATAAGACATGACTTAAATGACGTAGTCCTCTTTGCTCCTCGTGGAAAATAAGGTCTCCACCATATCCTTCCATTTCGTCCGATCTCCGGCTATTAATTTTGCAATCTCCCAAGACATCCCTGTTGGCTTCAGTTCTTTGAGAAGACTCCTACTGCTGCTTTGTCTATGGGTGCTCTCTTTTCCGCTTTTGCTGAGTGGTCTACTCAGGCGCCTGGTGTGTCACTTTGCTTTAATGTAAGCTCACTAAAGATCAACATCCAATGAACATATTTTAAAAGGATCAGTTAATCTTTTATAACATGATCCAACATGTTTTAAAATTCTAACATTTAAGGAAGCAATAAAGTGAGGCTTACAGAATTTAAATAATTTATAAACGTGTGGATTTGACGTTGCTTTCTGTTTAGCAGTCACATATAAATATATATTTTTTAAAATTCAATATGAATTTTAATAAGTTAGTGGTAGAGTGGTTTAAATCTATATAGAATCATTTATGATTACGCTAACATACCTGGGTAAATGTGCCATCGGAATACAGCTAGCAATAAATTTACGACTAAGAGGTGACATTTTATTACTTTATTAAACATTATTTAAACATTACATTCTGTTATTCCAGAGTTCCGCTACTGGCAACGAACAAGCTGGAGAGGTATTATTTCAAATTATAACATTACAGTTTAATTTCATTTTGAAAATTGAAAAAATTGCGTTGCCAATGTTTAAAAAACATGTTTTATTTTTCTAATGTAAGCTCACTAATTATCAACATCCAATGGTCATATTTTAAAAGGATCAGTTGATCTTTTACAACATGATCCAACATGTTTTAAAATCTTAACATTTAGGGAACCAATAAAGTGAGGCTTACAGAATTTAAATAATTTATAAACGTGTGGATTTGACGTTGCTTTCTGTTTAGCAGTCACATATAAATATATATTTTTTAAAATTCAATATGAATTTTAATAAGTTAGTGGTAGAGTGGTTTAAATCTATATAGAATCATTTATGATTACGCTAACATACCTGGGTAAATGTGCCATCGGAATACTGCTAGCAATAAATTTACGACTAAGAGGTGACATTTTATTACTTTATTAAACATTATTTAAACATTACATTCTGTTATTCCAGAGTTCCGCTACTGGCAACGAACAAGCTGGAGAGGTATTATTTCAAATTATAACATTACAGTTTAATTTCATTTTGAAAATTGAAAAAATTGCGTTGTCAATGTTTAAAAAACATGTTTTATTTTTCTAATATAAGCTCACTAATTATCAACATCTAATGGTCATATTTTAAAAGGATCAGTTAATCTTTTACAACATGATCCAACATGTTTTAAAATCTTAACATTTAGGGAACCAATAAAGTGAGGCTTACAGAATTTAAATAATTCATAAACGTGTGGATTTGACGTTGCTTTCTGTTTAGCAGTTACATATAAATATATATTTTTTAAAAATCAATATGAATTTTAAGAAGTTAGTGGTAGAGTGGTTTAAATCTATATAGAATCATTTATGATTACCCTCATATACCTGGGTAAATGTGCTATCGGAATACAGCTAGCAATAAATTTACGACTAACAGGTGACATTTTATTACTTTATTAAACGTTATTTAAATATTACCTTCTTTTATTTCAGAGTTCCGCTACTGGCAACGAACAAGCTGGAGAGGTATTTTTTCAAATTATAACATTACTGTTTAATTTCATTTTGAAAATTACAAAAATTGTTTTGTCAATGTTTAAAAAACATGTTTTATTTTTCTAATGTAAGCTCACTAATGATCAACATCCAATGGTCATATTTTAAAAGGATCAGTTAATCTTTTACAACATGATCCAACAAGTTTAAAATCCTAACATTTAAGGAAGCAATAAAGTGAGGCTTACAGAATTTAAATAATTTATAAACGTGTGGATATGACGTTGCTTTCTGTTTAGCTGTCACATATAAATATATATTTTTAAAAAATCAATATGAATTTAAAGAAGTTAGTGGTAGAGTGGTATAAATCTATATAGATATCTATATCTATATAGAATCATTTATGATTACAAAAATTGTGTTGTCAATGTTTAAAAAACATGTTTTATTTTTCTAAATTTGCAACTTGTAGATTAAAACAAAATCATTCATATAATTCAAATGAAATGTAAACAATTCATAACTGTCTACATGGTCACTATGATATGAGTAAAACACCTATCTCCAAATGTTGTACTTTCCATTGACTTTACTCTCAAAACTCTCATCTTTAGTTGTTTTTTCTCACTCGCACTCTTTTTCTTTAGGTTTCTGTCGTTATAATGAACTATATTAACTACTACTTAAATCTATAGTTTGTTGTAACAAACACATATGTGGTCGTTTTAAAGCGGTTATCACATTCGAGAGATATTTATAAAAGCATCCTGTGTTATCTTTTGAAAATGGTAGACTCCTTCTGCTGCTTTGCCTTTGGGAGCTTTCTTTTCTCTTTCTCTGGGTGTTCTACTCATGCGCCTGGTGTGTCACATTGCTATTATGTAAGCTCATCAATTATCTACATCCAATGGTCATATTTTAAAAGGATTAGTTACTCTTTTATAACATGATCCAACATGTTTTAAAATTCTAACATTTAAGGAAGCAAAAAAGTGAGGCTTACAGAATTTAAATAATTTATAAACGTGTGGATTTGACGTTGCTTTCTGTTTAGCAGTCACATATAAATATATATTTTTAAAAAATCAATATGAATTTAAAGAAGTCAGTGGTAGAGTGGTATAAATCTATATAGAATCATTTATGATTACGCTTATATACCTGGGTGAATGTGCTAAACCGTCCCCCGCGTGTTGCCGCGGGGATAGAAGAAAGTTTGACGAAATTTATTAGAAGGATTTCACCAACGCGTTACCAATCGTATGTTCTTTGACGCGTGACCGTCTTTTCTAAAAGTGAGTTATTTAAATGTAAACAATGCCTGCGCTTAAATCATAAATATCGGGACACAGGTTTACCGACACTACCGCATGAAAACATTGAGTGTACATTAATCACTCACCGAAATAATGTTAGAACACACTTCGGTGACCGCCCACGTGTCAGAGACGTACAGCGGCGCTCTCAGGCCCCCCCCACCCCCCGATTACACTACCGCATAGGCGCGGCGTTCGACCCCTGTCTTCTTAAAAGTAATAGGCGCCATCGTGCCAAATAGCATCCTGTTAATAATGATGCAGATTTTGTCATTCGCTAAAGTGACACAAATGAACAGGATTTTTTTCTTTAACACGTAAAAAAAGTATTTGACGTGTTTTAAACATCAGTGTGACTGATGCAATATGCTAGCGTTACTAACGGTCTATTATTAGATGCTCGATCTCAATATACACCTCATATTTAAAAAGTTATTTTTTCCTCGCGTTACAAAGTTATTTTTAGAAGCCTGTTGTAGTTTTACCGCTGAATATAGTAGTACCTTTTACTCGCTATGCAGGACGCTCGATTAAGGGATGTCAAGTGCCAACATAGTCGCTCTAAAACTCTGGGCGCCAAACCGTGTATTGACGAAAGTTGTATCCTATATGGTGCATCCGAGTTTTATTTTTTATATATCGTGTATAGAGAAAAAAAATCGCTCCCCCCTTGCAATATTAAACAATATTTTTTTTTGCAGAACCCTACCATTGAGTGATCTAATCATCTCCCCAAAGTTTCATGGTACACGGATGAACGGTGTGAAACCGAAATAGACTTTTATTTGTATAAACCGTATATGGAGAAAAATCGCAGCCTCCCGTGGCGCCGCTCTTGCGAAATTAAAAAAGGATTTTTATTACAGAACCCTACCCTGAATTGTTCTAATCAACTCCCCCAGAGCCTCATGGCTATCGGATAACGGTGTCACACCAAAATCGACTTTTTTATATACCATATATAGAGAAAAATCGAACCCTCCCGTGGCGCCGCCCTTGCGAAATTAAAAATGATTTTTTGCAGAACCCTTCCCTAGAGTATTCTAATACACTCACCAAAGTCTCATGCCTATTGGATTAACGGTGCCAAACCATTTTATTTTTATATACCGTACATAGAGAAAAATCGCACCCTCCCGCGGCGCCGCCCTTGCGAAATTAAAAATGATTTTTTTACAGAACCCTTCCCTAGAGTTATACAATGAACTCCCCAAAGTTTCATGGCTATCGGATGAACCTGTCACTGCAATTCACGTTTATTATTTTTATATACCATATATAGAGGAAAATCGCACCCTCCCGTGGCGCCGCCCTTGCGAAATTAAAAATTATTTTTTTACAGAACCCTTTCTTAGAGTGTTATTATGAATTCCCCAAAGTCTCATGGCTATCAGATGAACGATGCCAAACCAAAATCGACTTTTTATTTTTATATACCTTATATAGAGAAAAACAAATCGCGCTCTGCCGGGGCGCCACCCCTGCGAATTTGAAATATTTTGTTTCGCAGAAACCTCCCCAGGAATATTCTCAACAACTTCCCAAAGTTTCACGGCGATGTGATGAGAGGTGCAGTAATGCATAAAGGACAAACAAACACACACACATACATTGCTTTATATATATATAGATTAAACGTTACTCAAAGATTATATTCTCTTATTCCAGAGTGCCGCTACTGTCAACGAACAAGCTAAACAGGTATAATTTCAAATTACTTTTATAACATTAAGGCTAATTTTCATTTTGATAATTTAAAAAAATCATGTTACCAATGTTTTAAAAATAAAATGTTTTTTTTTTTAATTTGCGAAATATAAATTTAAATTATAGTATTCATGTACATGAAGTGAAATATAAACAATTATTAACTGTCTGTATAGAAATTATAATATAAGTAAAATACCTGTCTTAAATGTTGTACTTTCCATTGATTTTACTCACAAAACTCTCATCTTTTATTTATTTCTCTCACTCGCATGGTTTTTCTCTAGGTTTCTGTATATCATTCAGTGTATAACTAAACTGTTTTGTCTAATTCAATTTTTCTATTTATTTAATAATGTAAGAATTTAAATTTAATTCAAAATAACATAGTCGTTAAAATTGCTAAAATGTCACCTTCCTGAATATGTACATCCAATTGTCATGTTTTAAAAAATATTAGTTACTCTGTTAAAATATGATCCAACATGTCTTAAAATGTTGCAATTGAAGGCATTTAAAAAAAACAATGTAACAACGCGTATTTGTAGAGGAGACAATACGGTGTTATTGTGAGTTTTTCAATGAATACAAGCGACAATTCTTTCAATTTACTAAATTTATTCACATTAATAAAAGAAATCCGTCGGAATTAATAATGAAAATCCATAGTGAAATAATACCAAGCAAACTACAATTCAGAGACAAAGTGACGTGATTACAGCTTACAACATTCTTCTATACAGGCCCAGGCCCTTAGTTCCCCTTGCGCTCCCCTTTTATACTCTTCATTATCTCCCCTAACGTCAGTGAGCGATTTTATAAAAAGCATGGAAAAACATGACTAGTCGCTCACACACTCTTTCCGTTGGTCAGGTACTCTACTTTTATACAACTTCATGCTAAATACAATATAATAAATCATACAAGAGGTCCAGTCTGTTACAGAATAATTTATTTTTACGTCTTTA